AAACTGGGGAATGAGATGTTCCTAGGGACTTTGAAAATTCCATATATTCCTGGGAATCTAGAAGGCCATGCACATGTGTAGGGCTGTGCATGTGCTCATTAAAGACTGGAGAAAGCTTGAAACTCTCACCTCTAAACAACCTTGAGGCTCTGTGCAAGCAGGAAGTGAAAACCAGCTGAGTGTTGAAGGTGAGGCCCAACCTGCACAGAGAGTTCTCTGGCAAAGATGGGAGACCTATTGGTTCTGGATACTTAAAGAGATCTCTGTCCAGTCATTAGCTAACCACTAAGCTACCTGAGGAGAAACTTCAATGGCAAACACAACAAAGAAAACAAACTACAGAATTAGTTCAGAAAAGTCACTAAACGAACACTCAACAACAAAAAGCAGCAAGATATCTGGGGGGAGGGGTGTGGAATCTGATTTCAGAGTTGCCACATTATATTATTCAACATGTCTAGTTTTCAGAAAAAAAAGATGTGCAAGGAAAGACATGATGGCTCATTTAAGGGGGGAAAATTGAAACTATGTCTAGGTAAGCCCAAATATTGGACTTATCAAAGACTTTATTTTTTTTCCCCAAAGACTTTAAATCAATTATTCTAAACATGTTCAAAGAGCTAAAGGAAATCACATCTACAGAATTAAAGTGTAAGATCAATACCAAATAGAGATTACACTTCATGAAGGGACAGAAATTATAGGAAAAAAATGAAATAGATATTCTAGAGTTGAAAGTACAACTGAAATAAAACATTCATTAGAGGGCTCAACAGCAGATGTGAGCAGGCGCATGAAAGAATCTGTGAACTTGAAGATATGTCAAATGAGATTATCCAACCTGAGGAACAGAAAGCAAACAAATGAACAAAAATAAAGAGGATTAGAGATGCATGCGTCACTGTGCACCATGGGGGTACCAGAGGGAGAGGAGAGAAAGAGGCAGGAAGAGTATTTGAAGAAATATTGGTTGAAAACAAATTTGATGAAAATGTAATAAACCTATACTTCCAAGAAGCTCAACGAACTCCAAGTAGGAAGACTCAAATAGATGCACACCAGGCATATCCCAATCAGACTGTTCAAATCCGAAGACAAAACGAGAATCTTGAAACAGAAAAATAAGTCATCACGTAAAAGGGAGGTTCAATGAGATTAACAGGTGACTTCTCATCAGAAACCAGAGGCCAGAAGCAGGAGGATCACCTACTCAAAGTGCCAAGAGAGCCGGTCAACCAGGAGTTCTAATATCCAGCAACCACAGCATTTTCTCCTCACATGGGCACAGTCCGCTTAACGCACTGGATCACCACTCATGCTGCCGACCCTGCTGTCATCACGGGAGACCTGGTGGACCCAGGCCTTGGCCTGTCCCACCAGCGTCATGGCCTGCTGCAGGCTTATGAAGGCCCCAGTACCGCCAGGGTCCTGCAACTCCCTGAGCGCACTGGTTCACGCTAGCACTCTGTACTGTGGGCTTCCCAGGGGAGGGTGTGCTGATGGTATAGCACCCACCTCCACTCCGCTCACAGGATACTTGCTGTGAACAGGCTTCCTCAGAAACTTTGGCCTATTTGCAACTAGACTCCCTGGATGGTTCCGGGGGTTCAACTCTAGGTTGGTGGGTTTTTTAAATTCCTTCATTTATTTTTAATCGAGGTGAAATTTACATAGCAACAATTTTCAAGTGTACAATGGTATTTGGCATATTCACAATGTTGTGCAACCATCACTCTTAGTTTTAAAACTTTGTTATCACCTCGGGGCACCTGGGTGGCTCGGTCGGTTGAGCACCTGACTCGTGGTTCCGGCTTGGGTTGTGGTCTCGAGGCTGTTGGATTGAGCCCTGTGATCAGCTCTGTGCTCAGCGGGGAGTCTGCTTGGGATTCTCTCATCTCTCCCTCTACCCTCCCCCCGACTTGTGCACGTGGGCTAATAGATGGATAAACCTTAAAAAAAAAAAACCAACCAAGCCAAAAAAAACCCTAAAAAACCACAACTTTGTTATCACCTCAGAAAAACACCCCATCCTCCTGAGTAATCACTCCTCACTCCCCCAGCCCCTGGCAACCATGAATCTGCTTTCTTGATCTGTGAATCCCTATTCCAGGCACAGCAAGTAAAAGGACTCCTACAGTATGTGACCTTCTGTGTCTGACTTCTTTCACTTGCTTAGCAGGTTTTCAAGGGTCATCTAAGTTGTACCATGTTAGCACCAGTCCTTTCCTTTTCATGGCTGAATAATACTCCATTGCACGTCGATACTGCTTTTTCACCGGTTGAGTATGATGGGAGCTGTGGCTTTTTGTAAAGATTTTTATCATGTTTAGAAGTTCTTTCTATTCCTAGCTGAATGCTTTGTCATGACAAGGTCTTGAACCCTCTCGAGTACTTTCCCCACATCTATTGAGATGATTAGGTGTTTTTTTCTTTCCCTTTATTCCATTAATGGAGTGTATTACAGGGATTTTCTTATGTTGCACCACCCTTGCATTCCTGAGGTTAAGTCCTACCTGGTCATGATGTGTAATACCTATAGTGAGCTGTTGGATTCGGTTTTTAGTATTTTGCTGAGTATCTTTGTGTCCACAATTATAAGGGAACTGGCGTGGTTTTCCTTTTCTTGTGATGTCTTTGTCTGGCTTTGGTATCAGAATAATGCTGGCCTCATTGGAAGTGTTTCCTCATTTTCTATTTTTTGGGAGAGTTTGAAAAGGAGTCCTGTTAATTCTTCTTTAAACATTTATTATTAGTCATCAGACCTGTGTAACCTTGGATTGCACAATGGTGTCTTAGCTCTAACACCTAAAGCACAGCAACCAAAGATAAATTGGACTCCATCAAAAAAAAAAAAAAAAAAAAAAGCAACTTTGTGTTAAAGGACACCATCAAAAAATTGAAGACATACCAACAGAATGAAAGAAAATATCTGCAAATCATATATCTGAAAAGGGTCACATCCAGAATATATAAAGAACTCTTAGAAATCAACAACAACAAAATAACCCAATTAAAAATGGGAAAAGGGGACACCTGGGTGGCTCCGTGGGTTAAGCGTCTGCCTTTGGCTCAAGTCATGATGTCAGGGTCCTGGGGATCCCAGTCCTGTGTTGGGCTCCCTGTTCAGCGGGGCGCCTGCTTCTCCCTCTCCCTGCCACTCCCCCTGGTTGTGCTGTCAAATAAGTAAAATTTTCTAAAAAAAAAATGGGAAAAGGATTTAAATATAATGAAAAAGAAACATTTCAAGTTGTTGGAAGTGGCTACCCCTGGGGAGTGGAGAGAATGGGAAGGTTGGGTGTGTAGATTGGGGGCATCAGGTCTTGTTTACAAGACTGGTACAACTATTTGGCTCTCTGTCCAGTAATTCTCAACAGGGAACCCCTCAACCCCTCAGGGGACATTTGGCAATGTGAATACGTTTTTGATTGTCATATCTGAGATACGCCATTGGCATCTAATTGGTAGAGGCCAGGGATGCTGTTAAACATCCTACAAAGCACAGGGCAGTCCCCAGGAGAAGGCACTACCTGCCCCAACTGTCAATAGCATAGCAACTGCCTAAACCACTGGGTAAGCTTTGAAGATCCACACAAAGGAGCCACTAAAAAATTATTCGAGAAAAAAAAATCCTAACACTCATATTACAAAGCAAAAAAAAGTCTTTTGCAGGGGTCTCTGTGCAAGGTCCATAGATGTAGTTTTCTTCCTCTGCCATGCTTCGACTGTTTGAATGTATATAGCATGGCTCAGAAGTCTACCAGGGAGGTTTAGGAAATAATGACTTTACTTAAAGCTGGGGAGTTAAGATGCTAAGGTTTTTTAAAAAAGTAAATCCTCAATCCTAGTAATTGAGTTGCCAGAAGCACTGCTTAAAAAACAAACAAACAGAAGCCCCCCCACCCCCCGAACCGAAAACCAAGCTTTTACAAAATCTCACTTCCCTAAACTTTACCTATTGGGTAATTAGAACATTCTGGTGTAGGGATTCACAAGGCAACAGTGAAGTATTCTTCACATGTAACCTAAGCCATCTGTGGCTATTTCAGAGGCAATTAACTTTAGAGTATTATATATAAGTTTTTAAAATTATAAATAGTAAATAAACTAGAAAATTTCAGTGAAGGTGAAAGACTAATTGACCAGGATTTTCAAACTCAAACCCTCAGAAACCAAAGTTGACCCCAGTACTGTTGTCTTCATATAGCTAGCAAGCGTGATTCAGGTTTTCTAACATTAACATCGGCAACACACAGCAATGTCTATCTAATCTTTAAAAAACCACTACAAATAATCCCAATGTTAGGCAAAGGCCACCATGAAGACTTATCATCCCCCTTTCACACGACCTGAATTGACTGCCCTACCCGGTATTGTTCCAAGCATTCTGGGACTTGTTTCCCTATCACTCCCCCAACCCCACATTTAGTGCTCCACCCAGAGCGCAAGTAAGCAGCTTGGGAAGGGCTCACCCGGTCCGTGGTGCAGGGGCGGGGTTGGGGGGGCTTGTTTACCTACTGCCTGACTTGATGCTCAGAACTACAGAGATGTTCTGGACAGAATCGGGACAAAACAAGAGTCCAACTGAAAGCTGAGCTCCAGATTTGGCAGCCAAGTGACTGGTGGAGTCAGGTCTAGGATCTAGTTCTGCTGATGATCATGGTTAGTATTCTGCCTTAAGGTGTTACATGCTGTGGCTCAATCATTAAAAACAAAACCCTAATCAATGAATAAGTCCTTCATTAAAAAAGGCACTAAAAATTACTTGGGTATATCAGCTTTGAGTACTAGAACCTCTTCCCCAAGGACAGCCATTGGTATTGCCTAACAGAATCAAACACAAAGAATTCAAGAATAAAATCTGGGCAGCTCATAATATAGTGGAAAGAAATGTTATATAGGTGGTTGTTTCAAAAATTAAGAAACCCAACTTAGTTTTATTATTTACAAAAAGTTACTATCAAATATAAAAATAAAAACACAGAAACACAGGAAGCACAAGCTTTGGAAAAGGTAGACTTTTAATAACTGCTTTTATCACCAGGTTAAGTCATGCAGTTACAAAGTAGTAAGAAACTTCTGAAAGGATATTGTTGTTTAAAAAAAAAAAAGCTCATTCTTACATAAATAATATCTAGTACTTCACTGGGACACTACTGTTCAAAAGGCCCTGGCGAAATAACTCCCAAACAAAACACTCAACCCAAGATTGTTTCCAGCCCAGTGGTAATGAATCTGTGTGCAGAATTCAGGCCTCTCAAAGAGGACACCAAGTCAGGCCGAGTCGGGGCCATTGGCAGGGCTCGGAGCCGCCAGCTAGACTCCAAAGTGGGAGCCCAAGTGGTTTTTTTCTGGGACACTCTACTTGAATTATTCTTCAATTAGACAACACAGTAGATCTTCAAAGGAGAACAATTAATTAACATGATAAGGAGGTCACTGCACTCTTTGGACTATATGTCATAATTGTGGTTAGTAAATTCTGACAGTCTTAACAAAAATAGCCTCCACCATTTGCAGGTATGAAGATAACTTAATTCTCCATCGGACGTTTTATTTTTGCTGGACAACAATACATGATTGATAAGCTATAAATGATACTGTTTTATATTATAAAAATACTAGCTTTCTTTCATTTATTATGTTTATAGGCATTCACTGCTTGAGTCAAGGTTAGGCTTGGTAAATGATTAAAGGCAATTTTATTACAGCAGCATGTACTTATTTTATTCTAAGAGAATAAAATGCATAAAGAGAAACAGCTTTTATTTTTGTTGCAATCTGTGAAATTGAGTTATTTTGCTGATGTAAAATACCAGTAACTCACTGGAGGACCATGCCACCTTCTGAAAATGCTCACACCTGCTGCTCAGAGGTGTCAGCCTTAGAGCGTGTCTCAGACTCGTCCAGAGCTGAAGCGGTCAGCAGCTGGCTGCTCCTGGGCAACAGGGATGTTCCTGGCCCCAGCTCTGACCGCACTCGAAGCGGCCACGGAACAAAGCAGCACAGACAGACGGAAGAGCCTTTCATTTAACGGCAAAATACCCCAGTGGCTCTCTCTGGCATAGGTAATTTCTACTTTCATGTTCATCAGCTTGTACATGATCCCCTAACCTTAATTTCTTTTTTCTCAAAGGGGCTGATTTGGACTGACTTGTTGCCAATGATGTCCATTATCTAGTAAGTTGAGAGAGAGAGAGATTTCTGTGGTTACATGTAAACTTGTGAAGAGTCTGCAGATGAAGAGGGGAAGAGGGCAGTGAAGAGGTCAGCCACACTCCGTCTATGTGAAGGTCACACCAGCTTCATTGTACACCTTGAAGACTTTCTCAATGGCGTTGACATAGGCGGCCGTTCTCAGATCCAAACCCAGGTTGTACTTCATGGCTGTGCGCATGATTTGCTGAAAGGCAGGAGAAAACACAGTGAAGACAACCCCGACCCAAGCAACTGGGCCATGTGTTCACGGCACACACAGGCTCGGTGCAGGTGAACCCGCCCCCGGGTCAGTGCAGGACTTGGCCACTGAACCCCGTCGGGAAGGATGAATTCTCCGGAACTAATACATGCATGTACTGACTAGGCGGCAGTAAGAAGATGCTCTCAAATATGAACTATTCCTCTGTCCTTCAGACATCCTCTTATCTGGAGTGAGCTCGCTGTCACACTTGGTGATAATTCTACAGAACTAAGAATGGGGTGCTGAAAATGTTCTGGAGTGGTGATGGCTACATAGTCTTGTGAAGATACTTAAGGTTGCAGACTGTATACTTTAAAAGGGTGAATTTATAGCATGTCAATGATATCTCACTAAAAAAAATCAACAGCAAGCACCACCATTAATGTCTGCTTATGCGATTTCAACTTAAAGCCACGTGGACAGAATCTGAACTCAAGAAGAAATCAGGAAAACCGGACTCAAATTGTGTTTAAGGTCTTGAAATAAGGACCAAGTGGTCAAAAAACCTTTTACTTACACCAGATTCTCTAGTGAGGCAGTTTCCTACAGCCACAGTGGTGTACTGAAGGGCAATCCAGTTTGGCGGACTCACCGGTATTTAGCGAGCCGCCAAACATCACTCCCGCCTAACCTGCTATTATTATTTATTTCCAAAAGCCTGGTAAACATACTGAAGACCCTGAAAACACTGCCCATCATCTGAGCCTGAGAAAGCATGCATTTTGCTACACATTCATGAAGAACATGTGAACAGACTGCTATTTGGTACCACCGCACACACAATCTGGCCGCTGAGAGGACACGGCTGAGCGGGACTTTGTGTCAGGAGCAGAAATGCAAAGAGCATCTGCACACGTACCCTGGCAGAGCGCTCCATGGTGTAAGCTAAGCCAGAGTGTACGATGTCTTTCTCGGAGGCACCCTGAGAGGAAAAAGAACAGAAGTTGAACAAAACCACACACAGACACACTGCATGTATAAGAGCACAAAGGATTCTTCAATCAACATACAGCCAGACAGAACTGTTTTGTCTTTTGGTAAAGATACATTTAATTTCTGTAGAAATCTTGATAGCTATTTAAACAGTTGTTTTAATCACAGTTTGGTTTTCATTACATTTGACGGCAAACAGACACTCATGAAATAAGATCATGGTTAAACAACGCACACAGAAAAGCTGGGATCAAGAAACATGGGGGCGAGTAGGAGTCCAGCACGGGTCACCCCTCTGAGAGCAGACGGACCACAGAAGCACACTCTACCGTAACAGAGACACCGCACGGGGCCCCGAAAGGAGTCTGGCCCTCTTCAATAGTAGCTCTGCGGTAGGACCCTGGCTGTGTGCTCAGCAGTGCCACCAGGGTGGAAAGCTGGACGCAACTCAGCAGCTCCTCATTATCCCCTCGTTGCACCGAGGGAGCCGATGACCAGAGAAGCTGGCCACCGTCACCGACAGCTATTTTTAGAGCTGGGCTATAACCCAGGGCCTTCGACCACCAAGTCAGCTCATCTCCTTCCCAAGCCAATTATTTCCGTAAGTCAGTTTGTTTCAATAGATTCCTCTAACTAGTTTGTTTTTGGAATGCTTTCTAAAATTTTAGGACAATTAACAATCGCCCCCATTCTAATATGTCCTACCTAGCTATCAAATACAAATCCTGCTATGCCACATGAAAACTTAAAACTGGGTCACCAAGCAAGGGGGTCTATGCTGACCCTCATCTAGTTAGCATTCTCATCACTTTGGAAGGTGTGTATCTGGACAAGAACGGTTTTGGTTGGAGTGGTGGGCGTCGGCGAAGGTGAGCATTAGGAGAACTGGAGACAGAGTATACACAACTCTTAAGGATGTCTTAAGGAGACTGATTTTTTTAAAAACTGCATTCAGGGGCTCCTGGGTGGCTCAGTCTTTAGGCGTCTGCCTTCGGCTCAGGTCATGATCCCGGGGTCCTGGGATCGAGCCCCGCATCAAGCTCCTTGCTCCGTGGGAAGCCTGCTTCTCCCTCTCCCACTCCCCCTGCTTGTGTTCCCTCTCTTGCTGTCTCTCTCTCTGTCAAAACAAAACAAAACAAAACAAAACAAAACAAAACAAAAACCCTACAAAAACAAACCTGCATTCAGCACACTGACAGGAATGACTGCTGATGCGGGAGAGAAGAAGTGCTCAAGCAGTGCATTTTGGGGGGGCAAAAACAGGCCACTGGGCTTAGATGGAGGCACCCAGAGCCGCTCTGGAACCAGAGGAGACATGACAAGAGACAGGGCGCAGGCACCAGGAGCTGGAGGCTGGGGAAGTCCTCCGCCCCGCCCCCCCCCGTGGATAGATCCTGGGCCATGTGCTGGAGTGCGGGGGAGAGAGGAGAGAACGAGAAAGTGGAACGGGGAGAGGCAGAACTGCCAGGCAGCACCGGCCACGGACTTGAGGTTTGGGTCAGGATGAAGCAGCAGGCAGGTCCTCCAGCTCACAGGGGACAGGTGTGAAGGGAGCAGACTCGGGTTTCTTCAGGGTTCAGGTGTTAGCAAGGGGGTATGCGGAGGCAAAACCAGAAGAGGGAGTGACTTAATGAGGGAGCGTGGAGTTTCAGTCAGACAAAGAGAGGACTGAGGACATCGGGGGTGATGGGGGGCAGTGAAAAGCCAGGGGGTGGGTGGGGTGGTCAATGATGTAGGTCCTGGCAGGGCCAGAGCATGGCTGGGAAAGGGAGAACTAGAGGGAAGGAGCTGGAAAAAAACCCCCGTTTTTTAAACTGACACTACAAGACTCCTACAATAAGTCAGTCAGTAAGAGGTGAGAAATAGCAATGAAGTCCAACATTTGAACCCCTGAAAGCATGTGGAAATTGGGAGACCAACATACTGGGCAATGATTATTTAAAAAAGGATAAAAAGCAAGTTGTCGTGGCTGCCTTCCTAAGTGGCGGTCCTCTTTGCGTACTCCCTCTCCAGGTTTCAGTCGTCAGCTGCGCGCCAGACCTGCGCCGGGACACAGGCGGCCACAGGGAGCAGCAGGAAGCCCATCTAAGGGCAGTAGCAAGTCCTGGCAGCGCGGGGACACGTGGGATGGAAGGGTGTGTGCAATTCCGGCACACAGCGGGACCTCCAGGGCTGGGACACGTAAGCAGGGAGCGGGTCAGGGCACTGCAGACAGAGGGACCAGAACTAACAGAGACACGGCTCTGGGAAAGATGAAGGTTCATTTAGGGCAATGATTAATACCCAGAGTGGCCAAGCACCTTCTCTTCTTTAAAACAAAAGCCTAACTTTCCCCCCATGTTGCAATCTAGTCTTACATTACTCTCCATGACTGAATATTTCATACAAAGACATATTTATGGTAAGTTAGCCATTTCCCGGCCATGTGCATGTAGACTGTTAAAGCAAACCTAATTTAAACACCTGACTGCAAGCACTGTTCCAATGACATCATCATGCATGGAGCCATTCCTCTCCTTTAGAATAATTTTCTCAAGATAAATTGGATAAATTCCCAGAGGGGATGTTATGATAGTGTCCACGGGCAGGGAAGCGGTCACAGCGCTTCAAATTTTCCAAGGACCTGCACCAATCTGCCTCGTCCTCAAAATAAAGGTACACTATTTCACCACAGACACAGTACATATAAGATCCATTAATGGTTTTTCCTAGTTTAACACATTAAAGAAACCTTATTTTAATTTGTATTTCTTTAACAGCGAGATTGAACATTTCCTTTTCTAGGCCTATTTCCTATGACTTTGTTTTTCACGTCTCTGCCATTTACTGCAGAAGACATTCTCTTTGTGACGTGTGAGTGCTCTTACTCTGTCCCGTCAATAGCTAATTCACTCAGTTACCTTTTCTACCTGCTTCCTTTCATGCTTGTTCATGTCCACATAGCAATTTCAATTCTTCATGTAGTTCAAGTTCACATTTTCTTCGGTTTCTGTTTTGTGTAAAGCTTTTTTTTTTTTTTTTTAAGTTTATGGAATTAAATTTATTTTTAAGTAACCCCCACGCCCAATGTGGGGCTCGAACTCACGACCGGGAGATCAAGAGTCGCATGTTCTTCTGACTGAGCCAGCCAGGCGCCCCTAATGTTTACTTTTCCTTTCTTTCTATTTCTCTGAAGCTTAAGAGTTAGAATACATAGTAATTCTTCAAAATTATGTTAGAATCACCTGTGGAGTCATCTGCATTACGGAAGTATCAAGACCAGAAGAACTGTGGATTATTTTAACCGTTAATTATTTTAAACTAAAATTCTGACTCCACGTTTAGCATGTAACGAGAGAGGAGTGTACAAAGCACACACAGACCCTGTCATCACACGTTCACGCTGCTGACCACCCGTCACCCCAGGCCATTGGCCTGGGTCTAGAGAAGAGTGGGCTGTGTGTGCAGAGTGCGGCCCTATCACGGCACACTCACCGATATCCTGTCTTGGAACTCTGCTGTGGGTACAACGGGAATAGTGCCACCATGCTTCCCAAATTTTCTTTCCAAGCTCTCTTGAACAGACACTGCAGAAAGCCAAGAGGTGAAGTTAAAATACTGCTAGTAGGGGGGAAAAAACAAGTAGAACCAAAAGTAGCTTCAAACTATATCCATAACCCAGAAACAACTACAGAGTTTAGAAGCCTTAGGGGCGGGGCACCCGCATGGCTCAAGTCATTAAGCGTCTGCCTTCGGCTCAGGTCATGATCCTGGGTCCTGGGATTGAGCCCCGCATTGGGCAGGATCCCTGCTCTGCGGGAAGCCTGCTTCTCCCTCTCCTGCTCCCCCCTGCTTGTGTTCCCTCTCTGGCAGTCTCTCTGTCAAATAAATAAAATCTTAAAAAAAAAAAAGCAGCAGCCTTTGGGGTACTTGGGTGGCTCGGTCGGTTAAGTGTCTGTCTTTGGCTCAGGTCATGATCCCGGAGTCCTGGGATGGAGCCCCATGGGTGACTTCCTGCTCACTGGGGAGTCTGCTTCTCCCTCTCTCTCTGCCCTCCCCCCTTTTGCTCCCTCCCTCTCTCCCTCTCTCTCTGGGGGTGGGGGGGAAGCCTTCAACACTAATGCCATAATGGGTTAATCATTTAGAACTCTGCCAAATTCCTATATAAATGCGAATTTAGGTCAGTGCTCTGTTTCCATAACACCCATTACCAGGGTTTTTCCTTGGCTCTGTTAAAAAGAAAATACTGAGGGAAAAAGAAACGGAAATGGATGGAACACTTCACCCAGATTCTCAGAGTGGGCTGAGTGAAGCTCAGCTGGAGGTCTTGGTCTTACTTCAGCTGGACGAAACTGGACCGTTAACTCTGGAGCCTACTCTAGTCAAAGAAAAACCGCATTCTCATCAGAAGACTCCAAAAATTCTTGACACTATTAAGGCCTTAACTAAGAGCAACTAGAGATCGGAATGGATGAGTACCAATAGTAGTTCCTGGTTTAAAAGGATACTCTTTCTATTTACTAACTTGCAGATTATGTTAGGTGAACATCTGAATAGAAATATATCTGAGAGTTAATAAGTTGACTACCCATAAAGAAATCATATATTTTTGGTCCTAAGACTCATGAGACAATAATATAATTTCCTATCCTGAGATTAAATTCTCTGGGATTACAAAAAGGAAATTAGTCCTTTTTAAGTATAAGCTTTTTTCCAGCCTTTTACTGGCCCCAAAGATTATTTTTGGTGAACAAGGTCATCAGAACTCACTGAGCAAGTGGTAGTTAGAATCCCTTTCATATTTGAAGGTCAAACGGCCATAGCTGACATGATTTAGATTCTTCAGCCACTCGAAGTAAGATACTGTCACTCCTCCAGCATTCAAGTAGAGATCCTATACACAAAAATGTGACAGGGAAGACACCAAAGAAATGACAAGATGGTTTTAATAAATGCCTTCAATGACCATCAGAGCTCCATTTTAATATCAAGGCAGATTAAGCTTTAAACTTCCCAAATATATCTTAGATTGTATCAGGAATTTCACACTGAAATTTAACAAACATCCTTTCCAATTCACTTGAGGTTTTTTCCATTTTGAAAAAAAAAATAACTTTTTTTGTTTATTAACTAACAAGCATTTGATCAACTTTGGTTAGAGCGTCTTCACCAAAAAAGTCTTTAGACAGAACTGCTTGTCCACTAACCACCGGATTGTCCACAGTGTGCCTCACCAGATCAGCATTCCTTCTACTATCTAAGGGCAGTCTGTCTCACTTAAACTGAATTTCTTAAGTGCTTTTGATAAAACTTTAAACGTATCACAAATCCACATTCATTTCCACTTGCAAATAATCTTTTGATATAGACCCCATGCTCACCCACTGATAACCTTTGCACACATTCTTCCTATTATCTTCCTGAATAAAGCAGCGAGGGACATTTGAAACGCACAAGGTTAGAAATTATAGAAAAGCTTAGAGTTTAAGTTAGAATTCATATTTCTAGCACAACATACATTATTTATATAATTGGATTCTTAAGCAGGCTAAATACATATTCAAGAAAGAGCCTAGAGTTGGAAGAAAATGTTCAGGTCAAAGTGGAAATTGACAGGCTTTTTACACTAACCAGACTTCTACTTTATTTTCTTAAAAGCAAAATAAAGATGAAAATTCACTACAGCTTGGGAAATTAAAGATGATCCTTTTGTCTCCCCAGTTTGTCGCAGAAGACAGTTAGGATTCCAAGTGCATATAAAACCTGGCCAACACAGATGACTTACAGGAATCACCATAATGTTCCTCTCCAGGAAGATCTTATCAGCCTCTGGAGTTGTCGGCCCATTGGCACCCTCGGCAATGATCTGAAAGAGAGTCAGGACATACAGAAATGCCGGCAACGCCATCGAATCCCTCCACTGGGTGCAAGAGGTATGTGTGTGTGGGCAGAACTCCAGTTTAAATTTAATTAATAAGAATTATTTCGTTCTATAAATAAAGTGTATAAAACTATTTTTCACCTTTCTATTGCCCTAACTGCTTTTTGGAAGTTTGGTTTAAGAGGAAACCCATGCTGATAAATGGCTGCACAGCTCTGTGTATATACAAAAAGGCATTAAATTTTACACTTGGGTGAATTGTATGGTATGTGAATTATAGCCCAATAAAGCAGTTAAAAAAAAAAAAAAAAAGAGGAAAGCCAATTAAGAGCTTTTCTACGACCCTCAGGATCATTCCACGGTGGTAAGGCCCCAGTTCCATCAAGCTCTCACCTTGGCTTTGACTCTGGGTGCATTGGACTTGGTCAGCTGCTTTTCACTAGCAGCAGGGATCAGGATGTCACAGTCAGCTTCCAAGATGCTCCCTTCATAGGGCTTTGCCTTGGGGAAGCCCAGGATTGATCCATGTTGCTATAATTGATTGAGAAGTCAGAATTAATGGCTGCACCACAACAGTTTCAATGTTTATGATTAGCGCCCATGATATGATGACACATCTATTAAGAGCTCTTTGGGTTACATTTTAAAAAGTAAACAATGGAAATAGATTTTAATAAGACTTATTTCAACTTTCAATATTCAGGGTAGTCAGACTTCAGATATTAGATTAACATACCAATTTGAAGTCTTCCAGTTCCTTTGGGTCAATACCATCTGGATTCCATATGCTCCCATCAGATTCACCAACACCAACACATTTAGCACCAAAACGATGTAAATATCTCATAGAGTGCAGGCCTACATTACCAAATCCCTATAAAGAACAATTACACATGACACAAAAGCCAAAGTTTCAGTACAGATGGTAAGAGTCATATTCTGACCAAGACACATTCTATTAGTTTAGAAGTTATTCTAAAAATCATTTTGCCACAAGAAACAATATACTAAGTGGCTTCTCTTCAGAAATCAATTTCTCTTTAAGAATGTGGAGCCCAATCCTCTGTTATCTGTGATAGTGAGTCCTGAAGAAGTTTAGTTTGGTGTAGCCTTGTTGGCTTATAAAGAAATGGCATCAGTCACACCACCCCTCAGTCCCTGATGACCAGATGTCTTATGGTTGTAAAAACACTAAAGTCACTAATTGGGAGGAATAAGAATTCTACTTTAAAGTAGCATTCAACTTAATTTAGATTCAACTCAGTAAAATAACCAAACACCAAGCAAATTCTTCCTAAAAGTTGAAATCTGGATCATTGTGCAAACTCCTCCCCTTCTGAAAACAATTTCAATTTAAATACTGACCAAAAGAAGTTGGTGATGGTTTCATATGTATCTGCAAGATACTTCAAGTGGTTCTAGTCACATGAATCATACCAGAATTCAAAGATTAAAGCGTGTACTACTCTGGAAACATTCTAACACTTAAAGAGATTTAAACGAATGACATTTTAAAAACTGCAAATCTAAAAACACTGAAAAACTAACTTACTTTATGTATATAAGTTATTCTTTAAGAGAGCAAACATTTTTACCTGAACAACGAATGTTTTATCTCCAAACCCTGGTGTCATTCCTAAAATACTCATGTAAGAAGCTTCATTGATGAAATTTTCAATCCCATGGAAGACTCCCCGGCCAGTAGCAGAGATCCGCCCGTGGATTCCGCCCTGACTGATGGGCTTACCGGTAACACAGGCATGGGCATTAATATCCTACAAGAAAAAGTTAAAACCTCACATTTTTGTTTAACTAATTTGCTCATGAGGACTGTATGTGTGCTTATGGGTACACTTTCACCAACAGGGATAAGCCTCACTTTTTCAGATTTCTGTTCCCAGAAAATATATACTAAAATAGACTATATTTTCATGCGGCGCCTGGGTGGCTCAGTTGGTTAAGCATCTGCCTTTGGCTCAGGTCATGATCTCAGGGTCCTGGGATCGAGCCCCACATCGGGCTCCCTGCTTAGCGGGGAGTCTGTTTCTCCCTCTCCTCTCTATTCAGAAACAACTATCATAAGAAAAAACAAAGGGCCTGGGAGCGCTTCCTTTCCAAGGTATACCAAATATACCATAAACTGTAGCAACCACAACGGTGCAGAAGCAACAGACTGACCAGTGGGACAGGAGAAACTACATGGTCCTCTTATAAATAGGAAATCGACATAAAAAGAAGGAAGCGTTTTAAATTCGTGGATAAAGTACGGACTATTTAATAAACTTTCGGGGCATCTGCCACCCATGGAAAGCAAGATGGAATGCTTTACTTCACACCATAGTCCCTACCCCCAACAGATGTTGTAGCTGGGTGAGTTAAAAAGTAACCTGGTCTTTATCTGTAAGTATTGTTTAACTATTTTTACAGAGGCAACTTAGAATTGCATTGGGTCTAAATTGCCAACAAAAAGAAAGAGTTAAAAAAAAACAAAACAAAAGAAAGCAGTCCGGTAAAGTGATCTAAGAAATTAGTAGTTTTCCCACAGTTCCCCTTCATGAATAATTAACACTGCGAACACAGAATTACGAACCTAGTGCCAAATGCTTTCCCACAGTGCAAATGCGAATCCTGGAGCCGCTAGCAGTCCTGCCTGAGGTCGGGCCGGGTGCCTGCTGCCGGGCTCCCCAGCACACCTCACTGTCCCAGCAGCCCAGCGACCGCACGCCCTCCCTCCAAGGCCTGCGCTTCTGGGTAGGATTAGACAAAAGTTGAGGCATGTTTAGGTTGACATCTGGAAAGTAAGTAAGAAAAACAGTGGCTTCCTTGCCTTAGGCCTTGATTGTGGATTTCCTATCACTTTAAGAAGAAGGGAGGTCTTCTGCCAAGGTTTAGGTGGCAGCGCCTCACAACACTTTCTTTTGTGGCCCCACTGGGAATAAGCTATGAATAACGAATACACTGCCTACTACTCTGCACTATGCAGTCTAGTGTCTTGCTTAAAAAGAGCGGGAGACTATATCCAGAGCTCATTTAATATCAAAAGGTGACATGGAAAAAGCTCATTTTGGGCAGTTAAAACCAAAATTCTTTGAAGCATCTCATACTGCTCTTTTTTTTTTTTTTTTTTTAAAGATTTTATTTATTTGAGAGAGAGAGTGAGAGACAGCACAAGAGGGAAGAGGGTCAGAGGGAGAAGCAGACCCCCTGCTGAGCAGGGAGCCCGATGCGGGACTCGATCCCGGGACTCCAGGATCATGACCTGAGCCGAAGGCAGTCGCTTAACCAACTGAGCCACCCAGGCGCCCCATACTGCTCTTGTTTTATTTCAGGGAATTTATGCAATTTATCTGATAAAATTATTAATAAATATTTATTGTTTTGTGTGTTTTACTAAGGAGTGGGTACTATTCTAAATGCATTATATTACTATTCAATTAATCCTCATTGGCTGTGATTACTATTGTCATCTTACATATGAGGAGACGGAGGCACAGAGAGCTCAAGGCACCTGCCACAGGTCACGGAGCTGGTGTGTGAGGGAGTCAGTTCTAAATCCAGGCTCCCGCCCCCAGCCACAGACTGCACCCGCTCAGGACCTCAAACCAATGTGGGAGTTCCTCCACTACTTGCTGCAGCCCCCTTCCTTCTCTGTGGGGGGGTGGGGGTGGGGGGGTGGGAATAGTTCTCCTCTTCTCCAAGGCTCATCTTTCCACTAGGGCCTCCCCCCACCTTTTAAAAAAAGGTTTTATTTCTTTATTTGTGAGAGTGAGAGAGAGATAGAAACAGAGGGCGGGGGAGAGAGAGAATCTCAGGCAGACTCTGCACCAAGCCTGGAGCATGATGCAGGGCTTGATCTCAAGGGCCCTGAGATCATGACCTGAGCCAACACCAAGAGTCAGATGCTTAACTGAATGCGCCACCCAGGCGCCCCTCCACTAGGGCCCTTTAAAGGACAATTCATGAGGCCTGTATTACCTTGGAAGACTCTGCTACCTCTCCTATATCTTTCTTGCATCGTCTCTTGCATGGATGAATCTGGGGCCCGCAGCCAGTCAACTTGCCAACATCATCAACAACAACAATCTTTCTTTGAGTAACAGCCACCTTTCAAGTTCTTGCTCTGCTGTCCAGTGCCATTTTTCTCAGTGAAGACTCCTCTTCATGCCCTATTTCCCTCCCTCAACACCTCCTTGCAGCCTGGCTCCAACTGTGGCCCCACAGGTTATCTAATTGCGGAACTTGCCTCTTACCAGGAACCCCTCCCTCAACATCACCACATGGAGCCCTGCACTCCTTGTTCTTCTGCAACTGATTGCCTTCCCTCTAAATCACTCTTCAATCTGGCCATTTCTCTCCAGCTCTAGGGCAGGCCAGTATCCCCCCTCTTCTAGGCTTCTGTATGGTAGCCTGCCCCCAACATTCCCATTCTCTGCTGCAGAGAGTGACGCTCAAAATGCCTCACACCTGCTTCCAGTTAGCACTCCACCAGCTTCCTTCTGTTTTCAGGACAAAGACCAAAGTCTTCGCTGTCAGTCACAGGGTGATGATCTGGTCTGACCTTCCCCTAACTGGCCTCTCTTCAGCTCTACTCTCTTGCTTTCCACTCTGGCTACCAGTCTTCCCTCAGTCTCAAGTTTACCTCTTCTGCACTCCAGAACTTTACCTAGTGGTCCTTCTGCCTCCAATACTTGCACCCCTGCCCCTTCCCCAGTTGATCCTATTCTTCATTCAAAGTGCAGACCAGAAGCTTATTCCTTCAAGGAGGCCTTTTCTGATCTCACCTGTGAAGGCTTGGCCAGGCCCGGTTATGCCTTGTCCCCCCATCAGAACTCCCCCTGCTCCCATTTATCCCAACTGCACTGAATACCTTGCTTGTTTGGCAGAGGCACTCCATATATATATTTTTTTAATGAATGTCTTTTCAACTCCCTTTCTCTTCCTACCCCTTAAATGTTTTTCAAGGTTCCATCCATTTCAAGAGTGGGAAGTGAGCTTTCCTTCTTGTGTTCTATATTAGTGGCACTACTTCTGCTCAGTCCTCCAGACTCAAGTCCTCCCGGTTCTTTTCCTTGCTAACACACATCCACTCCAGTCCTGCGGAGTCTCTGTCATGTGCCACCGCTTCTCCCCAGCCCCCATGGCCCCTGGGCTCCAGTGAAGCCTACCACCACCAGCCTAGCCTCCTGTAAGAGAGGTCAGCACCAGAGCCTCTCCTCTCACTAGTCAACAAAACAAAAAACTAGGGCTTGAGTATTTTTGTCTTGGTTCACCTACTTCTTCACTCTTCTATTATGCTTTGAAATAGGCCTCATCTCCAGACAATCTGAGCTCTACTGTTTCTCCTCCTACCCTCGACGTCCCTCATCTCCATGTTTAAACTCTACCCATTTTCCAGGTCTAGCCCAGATACCTCAACCAGGAAGCCTTCTTTCAGAGATGTAACTCCAACCTTGTATTACCCCATCTCCATACCTTATCTGCTTATGTGTCCTAATTCCTCTTTAAATGAAAGCTCTTTGAGGGAAGTCAGAATTGAATGCTTCTTTATTTCCCTTCTAGTGTCTTGCACCATGTCCTGCCCTGCCTAGTAGGTGATCATTTCTGAGGTCCTATCCCCAGCTTTCAGGACGGGGCGGCACGTAAGTGAAAGCTCAGTCCATGTTTACTACATTTATGGTTTATGATGAGAGAGATAGAAGTAAAATAATATGCAAATAAAGATATGATTAAAGGGGAGAAGAACCCAGTGAATTCTCTCTGTCCACATACAATCAGCTTGTTATTTTTTGTAGAGAGCAAATGAGGCCGTCCAGGCTTTTGGTGGGTACTCACATAGTGCCCTATGGTGCTGGCGTAGGTGTCAGCAATCCAGGACATCTCCCGCTCACCCGTGCTCATGTCTGGGGCAGGCACATCAATGCCAGGACCTGGGGGCACAAGGAAAAGGGCATCACATCAGCTTTTAAGATCCACTCATCTCAAACACATAGATCCTTGCAATTTTCTACAATAACAAAGCTACCGTGGTTAGAAAACTTTGGATTTCATCTGGGTAACTACTTGAAGTCATAGAAATACTCGTTAAACGTTTCACTACAAAATCTATACACACGCGGGCGCCTGGGTGGCTCAGATGGTTAAGCGTCTGCCTTCGGCTCAGGTCATGATCCCAGGGTCCTGGGATCGAGTCCCGCATCGGGCTCCCTGCTCCTTGGGAGCCTGCTTCTCCCTCTGCCTCTCTCTCTCTCTCTCTGTCTCTCATGAATAAATAAATAAAATCTTTAAAAAAAAAAAAAATCTATACACACGCAATGTTACATGGTAATTTCTCCCTCTGGCGTTTCCTTGCTCTGTGTTTGGAAGTTAGCTCTGCATAACACATGTAAGCCACTCTATTGGACTTGTTGACTACATGGGCAGAAGCAAATCAGTGTATTCCTTTTGACCTCAGTTCCTTGAACTGCAATTCGAGAGAACAGTACCATCTTGCCCTACATAGGGACGACTGTTGTGGTTGGGGAGTGCCTTGCATGAGACAGCACAGAAACATACCGCTTATTGGGGGTGTAAGCCCTCCCCACCAAGTAGGAAAAGGAAAAGCACACACTGCTGAAGCAGTTGCGTTAAGCCCCATGATACTTTCACCCGTGCTTGGACCTGTTATTCAAAGCTTACTCAATGTACATAAAGCTTTAGGCCTCGGCTTTCAATTCCTCAGATCACAGCGAATTAGAAAGTCTGAGGATAATAAGTTAGTCCACAGGCAGCAACAAAGGCCAGCGACAGCGCCAATCCGAGGGCCACACTGAGATCTCAGGTAGAAATGTGGGACACGATGCCCACTCGAATCTGCCAAGGGAGGGAGACACAGAAACATGCCTAGCGGAACAGCAAGAATCAAAACAACTTAGTCATTTAGTGGGTCAATTAAAGAAAATATGCTGTATCTACATGAAGAAATACTATGCCACCATTAAAAAGCTTGTAATCCTCACCAAAACAATTGTATGGAAAAAAAGGAGGTTTTGTATAGCACGTAGAGTGTGTTCCCATTTACATAAAATTCTCTTTCTCTATAGCTAGATCCCTGTATATTATCTATGCATCTATTTCCATGTTTATATACAGTACCTGTGCAGAAGTTTGGAAGGCTATGGATACCTCACACTTGCTCACTATGTTTCCATTTCGGCCTTTTTATAACTTTCTATATTGTTTCAGCTGCCTAAGACAAACTCATTACCTTTATAAATAGGAAAACCCAACTTTAAAAATGCTTCAGCAATGAAGTCTTCCAAATAAAGTTCTTTCTAAGGGCTGTACTTGAGTTCTGTATTTTTTACTTTTTAGCCAGCTGAACAAGGTATGTCTTATTTTATTTTATAAAAGATTTTATTTATTTATACTTTAGTGAGAGAGAAGGAGCACAAGCAGGGAGAAGCAGACTCCCTGCGGAGCAGGGAGCCCGACATGGGACTCGATCCCAGGACCCTGGGATCATGACCTGAGCCAAAGGCAGATGCTTAACCGACTGAACCACCCAGACGCCCAGAACAAGGTATGTTTTAATATTTTCCTACACTTTGGGGGCCCAGGTCCAAGGTGATGTGTTTCTCTGCGCAGGCTGTGAAGCAATAGATACATAACTGGTCTAAGATAACTTGGAAATGGTCAAGCTTGCTTTCACACTCCTGCCCCGCCCCCCAGCCAATCTGTCATACTCCTGTGTCTGAGCACCCCTTCCCTTAGGTGGCTTCTAAATCACATGAAGTCTGACTCCCCCAAACCACTCTCGCCCCATATAATTTCCTCCTTGGAAGGACTAATGCCCCATCCTAGCCTCATCCTAACAAAAGGGCTCTACTATTTCCATTTGCTCACAATGTCCATTCCTTGAGAGCAACAGACTTCAAGGATGTTCTTTAAAGATTTCTTTCACCATATTGCTTTTCTCTCAAGGTATATATGACAAATTGCTTCTGAATCCTTCTAGAGGAATCTACAGAAGTTTTTTTTAGCAATAATCAAGTGTCAAGGAAGCTTGTGTCAAATCACAATTCCAACTGGAGAAGGGCTATTGGAGAGGGGCTACTGGCAAGGGGCAAGTTTGAGATACAATTTGTACAATTGCTTCTCAGAAACCTCAATTCATCTAGATAGCCTGAGGTGAGACAGCTCTCCCTACCCAAAGCCGAAATATTATTAGGCTTGTGAGTTTTCTACTCCACACAAAATCTAGGGATGCTCGGATTAGAGGTAAATCCTGAATTACAGACAAATTCTCAAATACCTAACAGAGAATCACTCCATCCCACAATAGTATAAAAAAGACGAAAAAGTGGCTAAAGAGCGGAGCTGCTTTAACAGAACACGAGCACAGGGTGGAGCTGGAAAGCCAATTTTGGTGCATGAAGATCCGGAGGAATTAAAGAGACGGACACACTGGTTACTGTTAAGGGAACTTTACAGTTTACAAAGGTGATATCTAAACTCACGCAATAGAATGAACACCAACCTTTCACAAACTTAAAAAACAAGACAAGAGGAAAGAACACTTCCTACCTCATTCTCTGAGGCCAGTATTTATTCTCTATCAAGGGCCTCACAAGAAAAGAATGCTACAAACCAATATCCCTTAGAATAGCATTAAAAAAAAAAAGTACTTATGAATAAACTAACAGAAGCGCTGAAAACTACAGCCCATCACTGAAGGAAATGACAGGAAAGGAAACAAATGGAAGGACATTCAGTGTTCAGGGACTGGAGCACTGGCCAGACTGGTCTGCAGAGCCACCGCAATCCCTATCAAAGGCCCAGCTGACTTCTTTGCAGAAACTGAAACGCATACCATGTGACAGGGCCAGGACTCAGACCCAGGTGTAACTCACACTCTGAAACTGTGGAAAAGAGAAGTCCCAACCAAAATAAGGGAGAAATGACCTCAGTTGCAGAGGTTTGCTAGGACCAGTTCTGTGCCCTGGAGGGAGAGAGAGAATTCCTCCCCCAGATGCTACAAAGCTTTCTGAGCCCAGGTGTCAGGTTAGCTGTATTGTGAGTCAATGAGGCTTTTTGCTTCAGAAAAGAAGTCAAATTGCTATATTTTAAGCCTTCATTGTTTCGACCAATCTCTTTTAACCTTTGGAATCCTAAGGTACTGGTCAATATAGAGAAAATGAAGCTGGTTATCGTTTAGATATGGGCAGTAAATACTACTGAATAAAGTCTGAAACCACTAAAGACTAAAACACGTTGCGATTTAAGCTTAGAGGAAATATGATATAAAAATCATGAAGGCTGTCAACAGGCTGCACATGACTGCACGTCACCAAATCTCTTTCAGTCAGGAAGGCAGTCCCCTCCCCAGTGCTTCCCTGCTCAGTGACAGGACAAGTCCACAGCAGTGCTGAGGAGGAGGCATGCCAAGAATCCAAATGCCTTTTAAATGAGGAACGACAGACCAAATCTGGTAAAGTTCTCGAGTTACTTATATTTATTTCCGTATTAGTTTATTTTATGCTCTTTTTTTCCTAAGAAGAGGGCAAATTTCAAAGTAAGGATATCTTAAGTTCATAGGAACTTGTCAACCGTGGGGACAATGTTGGGGAAGAAAAACACAGGGGCAGGAAAACAGAACAAGTAGATTTTTCTTTCTTATTTTAGTCAGTCTTCTTTAGGTTACAAGGGCAAACATTCTGTTAAATACTTTTAGGTTATTAGAACAAATTAGAATCCTTCTAGAACAACAAAAGAAATACAGACTTAATTTGCTTGAAAAATTAAAGATTAAATGATGAATATTCATATATCATAGCAGAAAGGACATTATGACGCAGACGACAGTACCATACAAAAACATCAAGCCCATGAAGATCAGCACCCTCAGAAATCTAGTGTTTGGCCAAAGGGCCTCGTGACAAATCTCAGGAGCCCCAGGAATCCTCAAAACCAGCCAGTGATGGATGGCGGAGTGAGCCATAGTGTGAGCCCCCCTCCCCTCCCAGCCTCTGCTCACTCTTTGAAGGGGCAGCCTGCTTTAGGCTCTAATTCCAAAAGGCATCAGATCTCTCACTGCTTTCACAACAGGATTATTATTGTAAAAGTGATTTTTTACACATTTAAAAAACATTTATAATACAGGAATTATTTAGTTCCTAAAATCTTTCTGGGCATCACAATAGGGATTGTACGAGGAGACGAGGTGGAAGCGATCCCCCAGTGTCCACAATGCATACTGAGAAGCTGAACCTATTAGAAACGTGTATCAAAAACAGGCCCACGTGCGTCCACCATAGTTATAACAGAACCCAGTTTCTCAAAGTAAAGGGGCAATTCTACCCAGGTACATATAGATAAAAACAGGAGTTTAACTTAAGACAATTGCTTTTTAGATGTTCCTACTCTATGCACAAGCCTACAAGGTAACACGTACCAATAAAGCCCTTCTTCGCCAGCTCCATGGTAAACCTCCTTGTGATCTTTTCCAATTCATTATCCTATAAAGGAAAAAAAATGAAAACAAAACAATGAAACAAATGTTTTTGATAGAAAGCCACTGGTAGAGATAATAGCTGCATCATATTTTCTATCTATAGGACATTTTCATATATCTTCTTGTGTAATCCTTACAACTCATAAAGCAGGCATTTCCATTTTGAAGATAAGAAAATGACAGATCAGAAATTAGGTTACACAAATAACAGACAGTACAACTAGGGCTCAAATCCCAGTGTCTGCTCTCTTTGTATTAATACAGGATCCTCTGAGCAATCCCTGTGGTATATAACAGCTAGCTTAAATTAACTTGGAACTGATAGGCTAAACAAGATTTTTACGGAATTAAGGTATTTGTCACTAGACCTTGAGAGCCCATCATAAAAAAATGAGATCAGGGCGCCTGGGTGGCTCAAGTTGGTTAAGCAGCTGCCTTAGGCTGGGGCATGATCCCAGGGTCCCATGTTGGGCTCCCTGCTCAGCACGGAGTCTGCTTCTCCCTCAGCCCCTCCCCCCAGTCGTTCTCCCAATCTCTCTCTAAATAGAATCTTTAAAAAACAATCTCAGATCATAGTAACATGTTAAATGTATATAGAGCATTTTATATTTATATTGTACAATATATAACATAGATATAAATGCCTAAGAATATGAAGGTATTAATTACCTTTTAACCAAGTGTAAAAATGAAAAAGGACTTTGATGTTAAGCAGGTGACCTTTATATGGCACCACACTCAATGAGTTAATTATTTACTTGTTTTTCCATTCCTTTAAAAAACAATAGGGGCCATTAATCCCACTGGTATGGGGGACATACAGAAACCCTGTTTTCAAGTCCTTTGTGAGTGCCCCAAGTGCATAAATGTTAGTTTGATACTTACAGTATAGTTCTTGGGATTGATCTTAACACCAGCCTTGGCACCCCCAAATGGCACATCTGAAAGAGAAGGCTGCAAGTTGTTATTCCATACAAAGGACAAAAAAATTCAAGAGGCAGAAAGCACCATGCAAAATTACAATGATTCAAATATGACACTTTAAGCTTTAATTTCAGAAAATTCAAGAAATAAACTCACATTGAGCTCTTCTAAAATGTAGTTGAACTAAAATTCTAGTGGCACAGGAATTACAGGGCTAGGCAAGTTCCGATGCCTATTTAATCACTGTGCTTTACTACTTCTGAAAGAGAAAATGTATTTATTTTCCTTCTACTATGATTTGGTCTTACCTACAAGAGCATGGAATGGGATTTAAAAAAAGATCCACACTTGAAGAAAATCCAATTAGTTCCTATAAAAAGTTTTCCATTAAAAAGACTAAACCTTAATTAAGACTGACTAAAAAATGATATAAGCACCTATTTCCCTAAAGCGTTATCAGGCAGCAATAGGGGGTCCCTTACCAACCACTGCACACTTGTATGTCATCAAAGAAGCCAGAGCCTTCACTTCATCCACACTCACATCAGTGCTGTAACGAATACCTGTGGGGCGTGAGAAAGAAGGGGATGTATTTAGAACACCCTGCCGGCTGGTTAAAAGAAAAAGTGCTAGAAATTGAAATGTCCACACTTTTTGCATCTTACACCCTGGTTACTTCCAAGAACACTTAAAGTAGCTTGTGATACAAAGTCAAGGAAAATCTGCTAATTAGACTACAGGATGAGTCTTGAATTTGATTTTTAAGTATTCTGATAGTTAAGAGAAAAAGATTGGCGTGGGAGTGCAGTTTTTGCGTTCTGGTAGGAGCAGATAAGAGCATCAGGCAGGGTTCCTGGAGATGAAGAGATGAGCCACAGTCCTGTCCTTGAGGGACTTACAACCCAGTGGGATACAGCAGGAACTATGACTTCACAAGACAAAAACTACTTTCAAATGAATGTTTTTTATGCTTTTAGGAGGGCAACTAACTCAGTGAAGGCTTTTTTTCTTTTATTTTTTGGCTTAGGTGATTTGGTAGCAGGGAGTTCAAAAAATTTTCCTTTCTGATAGCATATAAATATGAGCAAATGGTTAGTCAACAGAGTCAACTTGGTATCAGATGTCTAGAGGTTCTGGCTTCAGACAAGTGTACCCGGAGATCCTTATCTCTTCCTCCCTTCATCCACTGCTAGCCTGTCAACCAAGAGATGAGCAGCTGCTCTTTCTGCAAGGATGGAAGGAGGCCAAGCGACAGGCATCTGTGTCTTACTGTCCCTGTACTTGGGAGTGATTAGGTGTTTGGCAGAGGGGACATTGAAAGTGAGTATGCGGGCGCCTGGGTGGCTCAGATGGTTAAGCGTCTGCCTTCGGCTCAGGTCATGATCCCAGGGTCCTGGGATCGAGTCCTGCATCGGGCTCTCTGCTCCTTGGGAGCCTGCTTCTCCCTCTGCCTCTCTCTCTCTCTGTCTCTCATGAATAAATAAATAAAAAAATCTTAAAAAAAAAAAAAAAAAGAAAAGAAAGTGAGTATGCCCACTACTTTGGTTTTGGGGGGTCCTGGTCACTCAACCTCCCGAGTTTTGCAGTGTGAAGCCACCTTTCATCCTCTGTAGCTCATTGCTTCTCAACCCCAAGGAAGAAGGCCAGAGTGAGGCTGATGTTTGCAGACTACTGGGGCTCCGTGGCACTGGGTGTGTTTGTGAGCGATGAAGGATTCCTGAATGAACCTGGGTACAACCTCCACTGAGAGTTACAGTAATGGGGGGCCTCAGGGACATCTCTTAAAGAATTTTGGGAATAAAACCTTTTCAGATAGAAATATACAGTATCTCATAAACTGGCAGTTTGAGAAAACTTCCCTAGTCATTTTTAAAAGTTGGCTTCTTATATATTTCAGAAAACATCTATCTAAACACAAATGATACATCTTAAGAGAATTTTACCTGTTGTATATACAATCATAAAGAGCAAATTCTAAAGCTGAATATATTTCTTTGGCCTATTAGAAAAATAAAATGAGGGGCGCCTAGGTGGCTCAGTCGTTAAGCGTCTGCCTTCGGCTCAGGTCATGATCCCAGGATCCTGGGATCGAGCCCTCCATCGGGCTCCCTGCTTCTCTCTCTCCCACTCCCCCTTGCTTATGTTCCCTCTCTGTCAAATAAATAAATAAAATCTTAAAAAAAAAATAAAATGATTAAATTTAGAAAAATGAGCTCTTAGAAATAGATCTTACATATAATGGGTTCTCAGATTATCCTGGAACAAATTTATGTCTTAGTGAAATTTTAGATGAGAAATGACAGTTTTTTTTTAAAGATCTAGTGGCTATCTGTTGCTATAGAGTTTGCTTCCTTGTTTTATTCAGGCCTCTATTAAAACTTTCTTCACTCCAAGAGGCCCCTCCTGACCACGTTATTTAAAAAAAAGCACCCTAGCAGGAGGGGAAGAATGAAGGGGGGAGATCGGAGGGGGAGACGAACCATGAGACTATGGACTCTGAAGAACAAAACTGAGGGTTCTAGAGGGGAGGGGGTGGGAGGATGGGTTAGCCTGGTGATGGGTATTAAAGAGGGCACATTCTGCATGGAGCACTGGGTGTTATGCACAAACAATGAATCATGGAACGCTACATCAAAAACTAATGATGTAATATATGGTGATTAACATAACAATAAAAACATTTCAAAAAAACAAAAAAAATTAAAAAAAGCACCTTCCTCATCCCCACTCTCTAGTCCCCTCTGCCTTATTTAAATGTTTTACCACTGACTTTATATATTTATTTACCATCTTGGCTTCCCCACCTGGGAAGCTAGCACCATGAGGGCAGACTTTTATTTTGTTCATTGCTTTAATTCTTGGTACTTAACATAGAAAATAGCATGCAAGTATTAGGCGCTCAAATATGTGGTGAATAAATATATGAATATTTCTTGACTAAGGTGTTAAGACAGAAAAGCCATGGTCACTAAAATTCTGACATGCCTGTAAGTTCTAAACAATTCACCAGAAGTATCTGCTTATATTATGAAAGGGCTAGAAAGTAGTAAGAGGCAGAAGTACCAGGTCCTAAAAAGTACTCCAGGAAAAACCAAAATAAACCTGTAAGTAATATTAAGACCAAACATTTATTTCTTTAAAACAAAAAATTTTGCTCAAACACTACAATGTGTTTTTAAAATCAATAAAAATGTTACCATGTAACCGAGTAGAAACCGAGCTAGGCCAGGGACCTGGGCCGGGTGCAGGGACGGGCACTTCCTAACCAAGTGAACCCAGCTCAGCAGCAGCTGCCGTGGTGTGTACCTGCTTACCTGGGGGACGCAGGACACTGCTGCGCATGGCCATAGCTTCCATCTTAGCCATTTTCCCTCTAAGTATTACCGAGTAGTGGCAGATAAAGAAATTTAGGTTTTAAAAAAGTCTAAACTGATAGTAGCTTAAACAAACAATAAAATTCAATTTCATTACTTCTCAAGATAAATTTATGAAGGTAGTAAAAATAGTCTGCTATTAAGAATTAGTGTTTCTATGTCCACAATAGCCAAACTATGGAAAGAGCCAAGATGTCCATCAACAGATGAATGGATAAAGAAGATGTGGTATATATATATATACAACGGAATACTATGCAGCCATCAAAAAAAAAAGGGGGAGAGAAATCTTGCTATTTGCAACGATGTGGATGGAACTAGAGGGTGTTATGCTTAGCGAAGTAAGTCAATCAGAGAAAGACATGTATCATATGACCTCACTGATAGGAGGAATTCTTAATCTCAGGAAACAAACTGAGGGTTGCTGGAGGCTGGAGTGGTGGGGGGGATGGGGTGGCTGGGTGATAGACACTGGGGAGGGTATGTGCTATGGTGAGCGCTGTGAATTGTGCAAGACTGTTGAATCACAGACCTGTACCTCTGAAACAAATAATACATTATATGTTAAAAAAAAAAGAAAGAAGAAGATAGTAGGAAGGGAAAAATGAAGGGGGGGAAATCGGAGGGGGAGACGAACCATGAGAGACTATGGACTCTGAGAAACAAACTGAAGGTTTTGGCGGTGGGGGGATGGGATAGCCCGGTGATGGGTATTAAGGAGGGCACATATTGAATGGAGCACTGGGTGTTATGCACAAACAATGAATCATGGAACACTACATCAAAAACTAATGATGTAATGTATGGTGACTAACATAAAAAAGAATCAGTATTTCTATTACACACAAAGCACTTTTTTCATTGCTCTTTTAGAGCCTGTGGAAGTAGTTGCTAAGTTATTTTAATTTCCCTTGCTTTCTTAAAAAAAAAAAATTACCTTAGTTTCAGGCGTATCACACCAGAGTAACTGGACAATTCTATACATTATACTACGCTCACCAGTGTAGGTACCACTCTCCTTGCTTTCTTAAGGGAGGAGAAGTTATTTTCCCTTATCCAGTGCTTTAAACTACTGCCTTCAGTGGGAAACTAAAAACAGCTTGAAATAGTAACATTCACAAATCTGAGAGCGATCCTATTATTCTAGACACTGAGGGTAATTAGAAACTGGACTCCTCCTTGTACAAAACGCTGTAAACAAAATGTTTTTTTACTGCAGAAGTCCAGAATGATGAGTCAGAAACTGTACATGTATAGCAAAAAAACATGTTTCTGCTGGATAGAACCCAGGAATTCTTGTTTGTAAAGTGAAATTTTCTTTCCGAGTCACACCCAGTCAGAGAGCTCAGCTGCAAGTTAGAAGAGAAGCAGTTAGATCAATTACCTTTCATACCAGCCTTTTCGGCAGGCTAGGAGCCACTGAAGGATTCCAGTGAACTGAGATGCAGGAGCAGAAGAGTTAGGGGGATGAGCCCTGGAGCAGATGAAGGTGGGGGCAGAGGGGGACCCAGGAACCAACGCACATGATACTGCTGGACTAAAGAAAAAACAGGTTTTCCTTTCAGCTTTCTAATTAATCAGTGATACACAAATGTTTTTACTTCTGGAAGCAGGCAGACACACTAACACAGGGTTATTTAAACTGCTGGTCTGGAAAAAACTCTCCAAGTAGAGCCATAAATAAACTACTCTGTACCGTACCAATACTTGAGACAAAACGAGCCCCAGTACAGTTCACCCATACCTAAGGGAAAGCTACTTGCTTTCCTTCTTACAGGACTGGAAATCAAAGGTAATTACTAAGAATATACTGTCACCTAAAATTCTTACCCACATTCTATTGGATATTAAGAGTATGATGGCTCGGGGCGCCTGGGTGGCTCAGTCGTTAAGCATCTGCCTTCGGCTCAGGTCATGATCCCAGGGTCCTGGGATGGAGCCCCACATCGGGCTCCCTGCTTAGCGGGGAGTCTGTTTCTCCCTCTCCTCTCTATTCAGAAACAACTATCATTAGAAAAAACAAAGGGCCTGGGAGCGCTTCCTTTCCAAGGTATACCAAATATACCATAAACTGTAGCAACCACAACGGTGCAGAAGCAACAGACTGACCAGTGGGACAGGAGAAACTACATGGTCCTCTTATAAATAGGAAATCGACATAAAAAGAAGGAAGCGTTTTAAATTCGTGGATAAAGTACGGACTATTTAAT